TGCATTTAGATGATACTCATAGACCACAACTCAAACATACGAACAATTCATTGAAGCAAAAGTTTGCCACAACTTCTCTCAATGATATATTCATTAGTGTAAAGACTACTAAGAAATTTCATTCAACGAGACTCGATGTCATCCTCAAGAGTTGGTTCGCTTTGGCTAAAGAACAGGTATTTATCTATCAATTAGTCTTTTGTTGATTACTTATTGTCATACACTGTCTTATGACATTATATTGACCACAAAACTATTTTTAATAAATAACTTATTATTTCTGTTTCTCAAGACTTACTTCTTTACCGATGCGGACGATAAATATTATAACGAAAAAACAGGTAAATATTTGTTTGATTTTTTGTTGCTTAATAAGCATAAAACTAAAATAAGCAATCAATCGTTTTCTGGGTATTAGTGATTATGGAAATAACTATACTTGTTATGTTTAAGCTAGTTGTACTCTGTATATTTATTTAGCATTAAAATAGCCTTCACTTATGATAATCCGTCATATTTTTACTGTTGGAGTGTTGGCCCCAAAAAGTCAATTTAAATGCAGACTAACGATGAGATTAAAGTTTTGAGAGACAAGAGAGGGTTTTATAGGATCTGATGCGAGAACTGTTTGAAAGCTGCGAAAGACTGAGAATACGTTTATTTAAATTAGCGAATGATTTCAGTGAAGACGACCCCAATCTGACCACTCTTTTCAATGCGAACGACGAGTTGACAAAAGTTATCAATAGTTATAAACACAGGTTTGGTGTCGTCTCCAAAGATACTTCCAATAACTCGGGCGTCACTCAAACCAATCAAATAAGTCTTTTAGACGTTACGTCTCCAGTGCTTGAATCTGAAAACATAGCCAATGACGTGGAACTACTCGACGATCACTTTTTTACATCCGGTCTTTCAAATACAAACGGCGCTAAAAATAATACTTTAAATGATTTACAAGAATTAGGGGAAATATTTTCACAAAATAAGATAGAATTATCACCGCTTAAGAACTCTTTAGTCAATGATATTTTACTCCCGGAACCGATAAGACCATCGAATTCTAGTACATTAGTGAATGAAAGTGAGAAAAAGTCCAAATCTGGTCCAATGTCTGCGTTGGCAGAACTCGAGGCTCTGAGTGAGTCTCTCATCAAAAGCAATCTCTCGAGCGATGAATTGAAACACAAATACAATCTCTCGAACAGCGATCAGCCAAAGACCTCTTTGAATGAATTACAAAGACTTCAGTCAAACGCTAAGATAATGAGTCAAAAGGAGAAGAATGAAACCAATGATTCTGTGCTACCGTTAACTGATATAAACGTTTCACTCGATTCTATTGAACCCAATGATACCAAACCGATCACTCTTTATGAGAAAAATCAAATAAAAGTCATTTTGCATTTGACATCAAATTCGCCACGAATTGACGTCAAAGTAGTTGTGATAACAATTGTGAACACAAATCCACATCCAGTCTCTAATATTAACTTTTTAGCGGCTGTTCCTAAGGTATGATTATCTAAATGATTGATCAAAACTTATCTCATATTTAGTACATTATTAAAGAAAATGCTGTAATTTGTGTAACATTTCAGTCAATGCGAGTCAAACTACAGGCCATGTCTCCCGGCAATTGTCTGCCCCCTTACCGGCCGTTTGTTTCACCGACTGTTATAACTCAAGTGATGCTAATCGCCAGAAATGTCAATAAAGATGAAAACGTGAGACTAAAGTATAAGTTTTCTTATACTTTAAACAATGAATTGCATACAGATATCGGAGAAATTGCTAGTTTATTTGAAAATTACAGTAAAAGTTGATTCCATTTATTCATCTTAATTACTGTCTATTGTGAGCATTTATTTTAAATTTATACCGTTTAAGTATTATTTGTACTGTATGATTTTCTAGTATTTGATTACTTAAATCGTTTATTTTACTTTTATATAAGTTTATCATTAAGTATTTATTAGTTTTATTTATTATCTGTGAAAACAATACAAGCTTATTTTAATCTATTGTATGAAACAGTACAATAAGAATCACTCTATTAGTCATTTTTCTAAAAGTATCGTATGTTTTATTTGAAAATCGTGTTTAATTATGATTTAAGGTGCAATCTTATATTTCTAATTTATGTTTAAAAAGTACTATAATTGTTTGGAACTTTAGTTACTATATTTTTACTTTTAACTCATTTAATTACATTAAATACATGGTATATAATGTAATTTTATTTATTTGTTTAAATCTTAAGACATTCTTTAGTCAAGTATTTGTTTCTCATTTTATGCAATCTTAGCCGTTGTGGGGTAACCAGTCATATAGAGTATTGGAGGGCAATATATTTTCCTAGTTTTGCAAACCAATGAATTATTTTGAAAATAAAGTACTTGTCATTATGATTATTAATTTATTGAATATTCATTAATTTGGACCAATATTTACGTCCTTTTCAATATTCTATGTGTCAATTCTTTATGACTTATCATAACTTACGAGTTAGTAAAATATATTTCACTATTTATCAGTAATTATATTTTATTATAAGCTTTTTATAATAAATATTTTGAAACTTTTGCAATTGTATTGTTCTGTGATTTGTGTTTTATGTCAAACTGACGGCTAATCTAATGAAAATTACAAGTAATCCTCGATTTGAATCAGAGATTAGACATATTCTCGAGTGAAGTGTAGTACCAGTGCTGCAGATGGAGATGACGTGAGAGAGGACTTGGTTTCCACTCTACTCTAGTCCTGTAGACTACTCTACAGTATAGTAAATCTGATGTATTGTGAGAAATGAATGATTCCTCAAATCTCAGAGATTGGTCTTTGGAAGAGGAGCTCCTCCTTGACTGTGCAGATACAGAGAGACGAGACTACAAGTGCTGCTAAAGACTGAGGGCTGGCATACGCTTGTGATGGCTGACACTCAGACACTTGTTGAACCACTTTTTAGACTACGATTGCAATGAACGCACGGATTCTCTTAACTATGGATTGAAGATATTTGGATTGTTTTTCAACCATAAGTGCCTTAAAATAAAGTTTATGTTTCTATTATAATCACAATTGATGCCTTAATTCAAATCAAATGTCCATGCTTAAAGTGTTTGTAATGTGATATTACGCGTGGAAGTAGCGATAATGCGAGTCCGAGCCTCTAAGTTGGCTCAGAAAGCAGTTGTCGTCACTTTTTGCTTATGTTATGTCTCTCTACTTCTTATTTGGATCACGTCCTCAGCTCAAGAACCTGTACAGCAATCGGTGGTCAGTAGTGACAGAACAGGCGATAATCCAAATGTCGAGGACAACAGTTATCTAAGTTTCCAGGAAAGAGCGCCCCGTTCTGTCTATGACCACAAATCCTATGTTAAGAACAGGACACCAATCGATGGCAATAAAAGCAATATATTAAGCGAATTAAGCAATGATTTGCATTTAGATGATACTCATAGACCACAACTCAAACATACGAACAATTCATTGAAGCAAAAGTTTGCCACAACTTCTCTCAATGATATATTCATTAGTGTAAAGACTACTAAGAAATTTCATTCAACAAGACTCGATGTCATCCTCAAGAGTTGGTTCGCTTTGGCTAAAGAACAGGTATTTATCTATCAATTAGTCATTTGTTGATTACTTATTGTCATACAATGTCTTATGACATTATATTGACCACAAAACTATTTTTAATAAATAACTTATTATTTCTGTTCCTCAAGACTTACTTCTTTACCGATGCGGACGATAAATATTATAACGAAAAAACAGGTAAATATTTGTTTGATTTTTTGTTACTTAATAAGCATAAAACTAAAATAAGCAATCAATGCTTTTCTGGGTATTAGTGATTATGGAAATAACTATACTTGTTATATTTAAGCTAGTTGTACTCTGTATATTTATTTAACAAAAGTGCATTAAAATAGCCTTCACTTATGATAATCCGTCATATTTTTACTGTTGGAGTGTTGGCCCCAAAAAGTCAATTTAAATGCAGACTAACGATGAGATTAAAGTTTTGAGAGACAAGAGAGGGTTTTATAGACGTTTGTCTGCACTATTGGCTTCATATGCACCCACTCTGGAGCCAAAGCCTTCATATGATTAACAATATATTGTAATTCCCGTATATTTTATGACATATAGGCGGACACCTAATCAATACAAACTGTTCCTCGTCCCATAACAGGTCAGTCACACATTTGATACTTATTTGTTATTTTTCATTAAAATATTCTAGTTTTAATCGTTAAAGTATTAATGAGTTAAGATTGTTAACTTAAAAACAATTAATTGATTCACAAAAATGCATTTCGCTTTCAAATCTTGAAGTTTTGGTACAGTATTGGTTTTTATTGAATAAACAATGAATGCTAACTATGGGGTACAGTATATGTTAGGAACTATATGTAAACTTAGAAGCAAATCATTTATAGAATAAATAAATATTCATTTACTCTTGTTAGTCGCTTAAAAAGTTGTATAAAATAAGTGAACATGTTGAAAAATATTTTTATATCATAGTTTATGTTGTTTTAATGTGTAATACATGGACAATGTAAATAAAAAAATTTAAATTCAATTCTCATATCATATTTAAATGATTGTTTATAAACTATCAAAACAAAAATGATTTGTTTATTCAAACAGTGAGCCATATTAAAAAACTAATTGCTTTATTGAATGATTACCCGAAATAAATAATTAATTTGGGGTACAGTAGAGAATAATTAGAATTCAATTCCCAATTCCCTAATACATTAGTAGCCAATCCCTAAAATTGAATGTAGTTTTTAGTGGAAAACTGGCGAACAGTAGCTTAAAAAAGACTGCTTTGGAGTCTATGTGTATAATAGCCTGAAAGCAAATCTCAAATCTCTTGATGGGGTCCTAAACTCTTACAACTGCAGACATTTTTGCATAAATTATCTGAAGACCGCATTTATATTTGTTGAGCTCAAGAACCACCACTTCAACAGTGGGTATAAACAGTGGAGTAAAGTGAAAGCGTATGGAGGGGTCAGGCTATAGTGTCTATAGCCCTGGTATTGCATATATTGGGTCTAGTTTTTACTCAAATAGTGGCGAAGTCTTTGTCGATATGTGATGAATAGCCGGTGCACACAATCCTACAGAATGTTGTTTTTCAAGTTTCATGTGTAAGAGCAGCTGCAAAATGTAAGACCAGTTAAATGTTAACTTAAAGTTTAGGTTTAGGTTCACTTCGACCCCAAACTCAAACCCCAAAAGGCCTCAAATCTAAAGCAATAATACTAGTGATAGAAATCTGAATAAAGAACTTTCGGATAACTTATAGACTGTCGATACGAGACACTAATATTACAGTAACACTAAGCTATCCATGAGTTCGTGTTTTTTGTTGTACTTTTTCGGTTCACAAAGAAATATAATTAAAATTCTCGAGCCTTTCAAAGTTGACAATACATATGGATCTATACATCTATACATTTATTGCAAAAATAGACATGTCTTTCAAAACTACTGTATCATTCAATAATACATATTTATATTTTAAGTATAGATTCTGTACATCCGCTTAACTGACTTAAACAAAAACTTAATACTAAATTTATTGCTGTATAAGGAATAAGGAATAAAAAAAAGTGCAAACAAAGCAAATGTGAAATGAAGTGATAATTATCTTAAGTGGAAATGTTATTTAATTGAATGGTTTGCGTGTCAACTCAGATAATAGAGACATCAGTTGGTGTCGCACTTGTTGTTAACAAACACCACAAACTTGTTATACAAATTAACGCTATTTGTCGCTATATTTTAATTATTTATACAATCGATTGTTACACAAAAGTTAGCACAAATAAGTGAATCTTGTTATTTTAGAAATAAAAGCACATTTTGAGCATATTATATAGAGTGTAGAGAATAGTATTATAAGATTACTTTGAAGCGATAGTTGTCTGTCTGGTGAATATGCACCACAAAAATCATATACCGTAGAGAGTGTGGTGTAGTGTGGGGTCGCGGGACTGAACCGCACGTTTAGAGCAGGTGTTGGGCACATGAACTCACGACTTGTGCATTGCAGACAAGAATTTCCAATTCCTATACACCATAATGTACTCAACTCTCTATACCATTATAATCTCTTTTTATAATGTAATGTATTGTGTTTTTCTAGAAAAACAAATTAAGATTATATTATGAAATAGCATTTTGTGAATCAACTTGGATGGCAAAGAAAAATATGATTTATATGCTCAGAGCGACTGGAGTGCACTAAACCTTAATTGTGATGTACTGTTGCTATTATAGGAGAGCCCTGTGCTGTAAAATGAGTGTAGAATTTGATACATTCATCGAAAGCAATAAGCGGTGGTTCTGTCACTTCGATGACGATAATTACGTAAACGTTCCCCAATTGGTGCGACTCTTGCGTGCATACAATCCTCTGGAGGACTGGTATTTAGGCAAACCTAGCGTCAGACAGCCCATCGAAATCGTGAGCAAAGATAATAAGCAACAAAAGGTCTCCTTCTGGTTCGCCACCGGAGGCGCCGGCTTTTGTCTGAGCCGAGCGCTGGCCCTCAAGATGGTGCCGATGGCCAGCGGCGGACAATTCATCAGCATTGGTGAGCGGATACGACTGCCCGACGACGTGACCATCGGCTATATCGTCGAGCACTTGCTGTCCAAACAGCTCACAGTCATCGATGGCCTCCACTCCCACTTAGAGGCCATCAAATTCCGCGATCGCAACCATCTCTTACAACAAATATCATTCAGTTTCTCGCAATTGACTCATATTTTGTGACACGAATTGTTATAATGTTTGACTTTATTTGTTATTTCTATCCATAGTTTAATACATTGTATAATGTTGTTAGTGTTCGAACAAATGAGCATGATACTTTTATTATATTGTATATATAAATCAAATTGTATATTATATATGAGTGCCAAACACATCGCTCTCTCATTCCTCCGGTTTGTTATCTCAACAAATGTGACAAAAACTGCCATAAAATATAAATTTATTCAAAATAAATGCCAATTCTTGGTATACATATAAAATTGATAAATAATTTATAATAAATAAATCAATTATTCTCTTATGAAAATATTAATTGTATATTTATTAACTTTTTATATACTTTACAGTTATCTAATTGCTTTATGCAATTAACATAAGCATCAATATTTCTTATGGTAAGTAAGCAAATGGGAAAATGTTTATTTAAAAACTCCTAAGTTTATTATTACAATGAAATATTTTATCATTTTAAACAAATAGAATTTTAATATTTCGGGAAAATGATACAATACATGCAACTATACCGTACTGTACCTGTATAATTGAATTAACTTGATAAAACAATGTTCAGTAAGTTATATGACTCTCTCTCTCTCTCTCTCTCTCTCTCTCTCTCTCTTCTATAGCAAATAAGTTCAATTTACAGTGAAATTTTAGACACAGTAAACTGAATATAATCTATATTTAAAGTAATAAATTGAAATCAATTGAAAGTAATACTAATACTGTTTTCAAATATAATACAATACAGTAGTTGTCCGTAAACTACAAGTCAAGTCAATACAACATTGAAAGTGAGGGACTTTTGTGAGCAATAGTGACGTCAAAGTTAAAAATAAGTAACAGAATGAGTGAATGACTGACTGCGGGGGCAATGCATGCGTCACGTCATGAGTGAAGAGTGCATTGCTTTCGTCATTGCATTATATTTTGGTTTTGATGTCATTATTGTATTGAATATTGTGTTGAATAGTGAGCTATAGATGAGTGAAGTATTTGAGACATCAGTGAATGGATTAGTGTTTGGATGACAACTGGATGGTGGAGTTGAACGACTGGTTGACCACCGATTGAGAATCTTCGGCAAAACTGTTTCGTTTACGGCATTTCGGGAATTCCAAGAGTGGCTCAAAGAGTGGTCGCAAGAGTGGTCACAACCATTCGTGCGGCTCTGATATGAAGCAAGAGTTGAGTGCTTTTCAGCTGAAAGACGAGGGAAACAAATACTATCTGAACCACAAGTATGAAGAGGCCATCAATAGCTACACGCGAGCCATAGTATGTCTCCTCCACGACCTCCATGTCCGAACATGTATTGTAACCAATGTTCTCATGTCTTCATAGGTGCGCAACCCATCTGTTCCCACATTCTTCACCAACAGAGCGCTGTGTTATCTAAAGCTTCAGCAGTGGGAACAGTCGTATCAGGACTGCCGGCGAGCCCTCGAAATGGAGCCAAACCTAATCAAAGGCCACTTCTTCTTAGGCCAGTCTCTGCTAGAAATGGATCACTTCGACGACGCCATCAAACACTTGCAAAGAGGTATTCATTTGCTGGCGATGGCTCTCCCATGAAATGATTGTCTCATTTGTGTCCAAATGTTTGTCTCAAAAGCACTGGATTTGGCAAAAGAGCAGAAACTGAATTTTGGTGACGAAATCACTTATCAGTTAAGAGTCGCGCGAAGGAAACGGTTTAATGTGTGCGAAGAGAAGCGCATCAAAGAGGAGATCGAACTCCAGACATATCTCAATACTTTGATCCAATTGGACAAAGAGAAACAGTTAGAGAAAGTCAAGGATGAAATGCAAACCAATGCCATCACTGATGAACAGACCGCACAGGATCTCAAGCGGATGATCGTCACGACAACCGATCAAAGGACTGATGACTTGAATGCTATGTTTTCAAGTTTAGACACCAGAAGACAGGTTAGAATCGGATGAAACTTTCCACTCTTTTATCAATCTTTTGGTGAAATACTAATGAATTTGTGAACAGAAACGTGAAGTTCCCGACTATTTGTGCGGAAAAATCAGTTTTGAGATAATGCGCGATCCGGTGGTCACTCCGAGTGGCATCACATATGACCGCAAAGACATCGAAGAACACCTGCAACGGGTCGGTCACTTCGATCCGGTCACTCGAACGCCACTCACCGCCGATCAGTTGATCCCGAATCTGGCGATGAAAGAAGTGATCGACACCTTCTTAATGGAGAACGAATGGGCCAATGATTACTGATTAGACATTGAACGCTAATTTATGTTTTAATGGCAATTTGGTTGGACTGAAGGGTGCCTTTCATTGCTTTTCATTTGTTTTCATTCAATGGTTTCGAAAACATTTGGTTTTCAATCATTCAAATCATTTGCTCCTATTTTGGCCATCGCTTGGAAACCAAGTGTGTGTCAGACAATTGGATTACTTGTTAAGTGATTTATTATTCATTTCCTTAAATCTACTGTAATACTGAATAATGATTTTACTTAAAAAACGACTGCAATTATTTGAAATATTAACCAAGAAATTTAAATTTTTATTTCATTCTTAAAGTTTAAAATTCATTACAAATAAGTTGTTGAAACTCATGATCAGATAAAGTAGGTTTTACATCAAAATAATTGAATACAATGTCAGCGAATGAGCAAAGGATTAACAGGTCTTGAGGGTTAAAACATGGATTAATGGATGACATAATTCACATCTAAATAATAGAAACACAAATCAAAACCATTTGCAAAACACATTTGAAAATATAAAAATCCAAACCTTATTAGTATAGGCATCGAGTTCTGCGTCCAGTTCTTCAGCCGTCGGCACTTTTTTCTGACTATTGTTTGGAAAAATTATTTTAAAAATCATTAATTGAAATGTTTTTTATAAATTATATTTAATTCAATTGTAATTATTTGATGAAATAAAATACTAATTTATGATAAATATAAAGCACTTTAATAGATATCCAAATAATGATTACTTTAATAGTTTGACATAACTTTTCACAGATATTATAAATAACTTATCAAATGATTAATAGATTCGCAAATGATTAGCAAAATAGAGACAACTTTTCATTTACAAAGATTTAAAGCATTAGTTTTGCAGAGATTTCTCATAAAATTATGTAAAGTTTGCAAACTTTTGTCCGCCTCCTCGGGATCCGCCTCTTCCTCGAAGACCGCCCCTCCGGGCGCCGCCACCTCTGGCTCCAGAGGCGCCTCCTCTGAAGCCTCTGCTGCCGCCAGATGTGCCGCCTCTTCCTCCTCCTCTGCTTTGGTTTCGGTTTCCGACGGGAACTCCAATTCTTGAGCCGATATTACTGGCTGTGGCTGTCTGTTCACTGCCAACCATTAGCTGTATTTTCATGGGTCGGCCTAATTGGGAGAGTAAGAGCTGGCATTCGAGCTATTCTGAGAAGCACTTCCGCTCCAGTGCCCTATAATCATGTCTTAAGATGTTTACCATCGAGTGGTACTCCGTTGTATTGATTCATAGCTTTCATGGCGTCAGCTTTTCGGTCAAAGATCACATCAGCCGTTCCTAACGACCTCCCGGAGCGGTCGTAATGGATGGCAGCCTTTCGCAGATTCCCAAACTCAGCGAACAACTCCTGGATGTCGGCATCTGATCCCATATGACAGACTCATTACACAATCGGTGCACACATTATCACTACAATACCTGTGACACCAAACTCCAGGTTCGAGACCATTAGGTGCGAGTTGTTGGCGTTGGCGGCTGTCTTCGTCTGATTGGACCTACTCTTGAGTCCGGTGTCAAACAAGTCGTGTTGCCATTTGTCGGGCATTTGGTTGGGCTGAGGATCAAACAAATGGTCAACAATTGTCTGCAAATGTATTCATAATTATAATCAATACTCGACTGTAAGGCAGAGATCTGTTGTTTCTGTTGCGGAGGTTTCGTTGAGGACCTCCTCCTCCGCCTCCGCCACCGGACTGTCGTTGTGCTCCGCGTTGAGGACCCCCTCCACCACCTCTTCCTCGACCGGTGGATCCCCTCTTCCTTCCGGTACTGATTTTGTCTCTTTTGATGATATCGTCTAAAGACATGTCAATCTTTTCGGCCATTTTGTGGTCAAATGTTTGGTCCAAACAAATGCGAACAACGATTGAATGGATTCGTGAGACAAATGTTTGGATGTTTTGATTGAATCGATCGCAGAGTCTGTGAGACAATGGCTGAGAGGAGAGGACTGGGAGGACAGGGATGTCGAGTGTCGGCGCAAAACACACAATAAGTGCGCACTTTTTCACCACAAATCACGTCAACTATTGATCCATTGGTTCGTAAAGAATGTCTTCAAATTGATTACCGGTTCTCAACTCACGAGTCGTTTTCACCCAATGTTTTGACCATTGATTGCATCGGAGGACCAATTGATGTGTGATTTAAGAGCAAAGTTGACGTCATTTTGATTAAGAGATTATCGTTTGAGACAAAAGTGATTGCATTTGAAAGACAATCGATTCGTACAATGGATTCAAATCGGAGTCATTTCAGCGGACAAGACGTGGGATTCAATTGGTCTGATGTGACACAAGAGTTCTGGAGCGCCACTGAAGGTAACCATTAGTGTGATGAATGCTTAGGTGATGTGATTGATGACTCATGTGTCTCATCCTCCAGAGCTGAGTTGCGGTCAGTTATTACACGACGAGTTGTTTGGGTTGTTTGAAGCCATGTCTGCCATAGAGATGATGGACCCCAAGATGGACGCCGGGATGGTCTCCAACCAGACCCTCAAGAAAGTGCTCAATTTGGAGCAATCAATCAAAGCTAACAAAATCAAGATCAACGACTTCACGCTCGACGAGCACTTGGGGGTCATCGACGAGACCCTCTCATCGCTCGTCACGTGGTTTGAGGGCCACTCACTCGCGCAGACCGTCTTCATTAACCTCTATCTCCATAACCCGTCACTCATTGTCGACAAAACCATTCGAGTCTTCTCTATGATTGTCCTCAAGTTAATTGATTTGATCCGTGAGTTCGTGTCAAAGGCTAATGTCTTCGAAGAGGAAGACTTCCAGCCTATCGTTTACGGCTACCAATTGGCCAGTGATTTGAGTGATTCAAAGGCCGCTTCCCTCATGAGGGAAGTGGAGGACGAGTTGTTTAAGAAAGTGAAAGCTCTTCAGCGGGTCATCGATAAGACAGTTGAATGCGATGCCAACAAACAGGACGTGGAGTGCCATCGACTCACTTCTGGTCTCTATTTTCGGATCAAATTCTTTCGAAATCTCTTCCAAGCATTGAATACATTGAAGAAATTGACGTCAAATAACAAAGCGAACCGAAAATTGAACACAAATTTAGACAAAGAGTTAGTCGAAGACACCGAGAAGTACTTAAACCAATGCAACGAAGCGATCACTGTATGGAAGCAAACCATTGATTGTGGAGTAAAACCTGACTTGAGTTCGACGAGTGGACACAGAGCTGATTACCCGACAATCTTAGGCTTTGAACCATTGGTTAATCAACGACTACTTCCGCCCACTTTTCCGCGCTATACGAAAATGAAGAGCAGATCCGAAGCACTGGAACTGACGCTTCGACTCATAGATCGGCTGAAAAGAGTGTCCAAAATATATGAGTACTCTTCATATGAGTCGGCGCTGGAGTTCTTCAACGACTTCAGTCAATACATTCCCTCGTCTTGTGTTCTCTCGCGTTCAATACTACAGGTCTTATATCTACCGCAACCGAGTCTGGTGTTCGGAACCACACATTTAGCACAAGTAGTTCGCGAGTCGTGCAAACAGTTTATAAAACCGCCCTCTCTTTGCACTAAAAGTGCGTTAATTAACAGCAATCCTAACGCTAAGGAATTGTTGGACACCTTTTTCCAGCGCGCCGTCCGACCCATGGCTACGTTGACGCAGATTTGTGGCCACAATAGAGCGCGTCAGAGGGAAAAGTTGGCGCAGATTCTCGAAGAGCTCACTGCCCTCCAGGACGAGGCCGACAAAGTAGACAACTATTTGAATGGATTCACACAGAAAAGTGATCCGCAAACCAGTCATTTGGGATATTATAGCACTTGGGTTTTGTATCACATCTTACGAGTTATGACTCAATACCTGCTCTCAGGCTTTGAATTAGAACTGTATTCTCCACACGAATATCAGTATATATTCTGGTATTTGTATGAGTTTTTGTACGGTTGGATCGTTTCCACACTCAATAGGGCCAGTAATCTGATCCTCGAACAGGAGGTCATTGCCGGTAAGCATAGCATTCACAACCGATCACTTCACACATCGGGTTCTGTATGTTTTGAGACATTAATTATTATATGTTTTCAATTCAGATCAAATCCAACAGCAAATGAAAGGCAAGAGTAAGAAGTCGCGGCCTAAGAAACGCAAACAACGGCCACACTATCAGCAAATACTTATTCACCAATCACTACAACATCTCAACAATGGCTTTTATAAAGCCATTTGTGGATTCAAGTTAGATAACAAACTACCGGTGCCTCAGTCTGCTCTCAATAGTGAACAGATCCGATACGAGCACAGGTTTATGCCATTTCGCAACATTATAGCGCCGCCACCCGTCCCTTACAACCAATTCAAAGATATGACGAGTAATGTATGGCAACAAACGTCTGGCGAACTCTATTTGATGTCTTGTAAAAGCTTTCAACAGACAAAAGCTTTACTCGAAACCATATCTGATCCAAAACAAGAAGTAATTTTATGCCTAATTTGATTCAAACAAATACTCAGTTTTGACTGTTTTTAGGTCTCGTCTTATATAAAAATAGCGAAAACTAATTTCGTTGTAATGAAACTCTTACTCAGTGGACATCAAATGGACTCTCAGGTAGACATCCATTCATTCATTTCGTATCCAATCATTTGATTGTATTTTTCTATTTCCAACAGAAATGTCCAGAATTTGACTTTTCAGTCAATCCATACTTTCCGTTAATAAGTATTTATAAGAAATGATTTTATATACAGTTTTAAAATTTTATGAAAAATTAGTTCATTTATTTATACATTCATTTAAAGACAACTGCAATAAACTAAACGTAAATGAATTGTTTTACAAAACTATAATAATTTAGAAAATTATTGACAAAATAATATATAATTCAATAGAAGAGAATACTGAGAGCCATCGCCAGACAACTGATGGCAACGTATGGACTCTTGCGTTCACCAATTCGGGCGCACTTCCAGAATATTCCCATAAATCTGTTCAATCATATCATGAGTGAGTGAGTGAGTGAGAGAGAGAGAGAGAGAGAGTGTGTGAGTGAGAGGTAAATACCCGGTCTTCCTCTTGTCGAGTATTTGTGTCAAAGATCTGATGTAAGTACACGTGCAGATCAACAACAACACCACTGTTAACAGCGATTGGAAGTTAAATAGAGCCGACTGTAAGACAAATCAGTTACCAGTTAAGTCTTGACGCATTCATTCAATTATCTTACTTACCATTCTTTATATCGGATCAATCAATTGGTCACCAAATTGTTGACAACTAATGAAACATCTAAACAATCATATCATGTGTTTGTGTCACTAATGTTTACAACCCACCAGTAAATGGTTACTCAATATTTGAATGCCTACACAACTATAGCATGTAATCCAATGAGAGGGGGTGTCATGCAGTGATTGTCACGTGCTTTGTGTGTGTGAATCAGTATCTTGATTAGTGAACATGTGATGAGTTGAGTCTTGGGATGAGTGCGTGATTGCCATCAATATATCGGTAACCGAAGAGTGGATGCAATGCTGTTGTTCTGCTGTCAGTGCGGGACTCGTCTGTCGCTGTCGAGTGGGAGTACGTGTCACGTGATGTCGTGCCCCACGTGTCCGTACGTGTATAAAGTGACGCAAAGCATAGCCAACAGAAAGTACCCGAAACTGAAGGAAGTGGACGAAGTGCTCAGCGATTCTGCCGTTTGGCTGACCGTCGACTCCACCGAAGAGAAGTGTCCCAAATGTGACCACAAGAGGGCCTACTTTATGCAACTGCAGACCCGGTCGGCCGATGAGCCCATGACTACGTTCTACCGGTGCTGTAGTTGTGGCCACCGATGGAAGGACTGACCGCGAACTGCCATCCGATGTGTCATATGTCTCACTATCACTGCATTTGTTGTTTGTTTTCATGATAAATATGTTTTAATAAAATTGTATTTATTTCACATGAAAATGAGTGCAAAATTTATTTCATTCAATATTCAATACAAGTTTGCAATCAATTGTCTTTCATATACTGTATTAATAGGGATCCGAGTGACCAACACTTTACAGTAGATGGACAGGTATTACGACTTAAGGCAGGTATGACTGATGGCAAAGGGAAGTGAAAAATATAGGAAAACAGTAATAAAAAGTAATTACATAAAGAGTTCTTCAGATCACGAACCGATCGCTTGAATGCTATGTCTATTTCGTGTAACCATTGATCCATTGATTGAGTTATTTGTGAATTATTGACAACATATCTGTAAATTACATATTTGTTTGTCTTTTATTAGAAAATAAATAGAAATCTTGTTTTAAAACAAATAAATAAATAAATTCTACAATAATTTGGGAGAAAAAAAGTAAAACTAATTGACATTCAAATCAAGTTTTTAATGCTTTTTGAAAACAATTTTTGTGGAAATGAATTGAAAGATGAATTGAAAGACTTTGGAAAACAGGGAAAACTCTTTTGTATAAATTCTTGTGACTTATTCTACGACTGCTCGCCATCTTTGGCCAGTTCTGCGGCCCTCTTGTGCGCGGCCTCGACAGCGGCGGCCACTCCTGAGGTGACGTCTGCTTTGTCGAGCACATGGATGCCGTAAATGGCGGGTCCGGCGGGTCCGCACACGTCGTCCTTCATTTCGTTGGGATTCTTCCCGGACTCGAGCAGTGATTGAGCGCCGCATTGGACGGTCTTCGCCGCGAACTTTGTGGCCATTTGTCTCGAGAGACCCATTTTGGTGGCGCCGTTGGACAGCGCGTCGATGAAGTAGTAGCTGAAGGCGAGTCCGGCCCCACATATAGCACAGGCGGCGTCCATCTGCCCCTCCGCCACGTACTCCAACTTCGAGACCGTCGACAGGAGCGCCCGCACCGGTTCGGCCAACTTCTTGGAGTCGGGCTCCACATCGACGGCACAGATGCCCAACCCGTAAGCGGCCGCACAGTTGATCATAATTCTGTGCATTTCTATGATATACTTCTCGGGGTTCTCCGGATTGAGGAGACACTCGCGGATATGCTTCAGACTGAATCCCGTGACGAGTGACAGCACATACAACGGCTTCTTCATGTTGGGGATGAAGTTCGTGGTGAGAGGGAAGGGACGACTGCCTCCCTGTTTGTACAGATTGCGGATGACTGAGCCATGGACTGCGATGAACACTATATCGCAGCCGTATTTGGCGAAGATGTCCAGATTCCTCTTCGTTATGTGCAGACCCGAGAACTGACTCTTGAGGCGCTCCAAGTTCTTGGTGGTGGGCGCCGACACGTGCAGTCGCGTCGCCTCCACTTTGCCGTACTTCGTGAACCCCGACAGCAACGACTCCGTCATCTTTCCCGCGCCGATGAACCCGATCTTCGCTGTACTCAAGTCCACAGCCTTTCCCGATGTCTTTCCCTTCTGTTTGGAACTCATTCCTCAAGATTTGCCGCTTCTTTCGCTCAATTCGTCGGTTACTCTGATTCTCTGATTCTTCGGATGTCTTCTGATGTCTACCTCTGCTTCCAATCACTTCTAGTCTTTCAATAACTGTTGTAAAAGCGGTTGAATTTGGCGTCAATTCACGTCTGAATATCCGTTTGAAGTGATGTTTGAATGCTTTGTGCGAACAGTCATTGCATTCAACACTATCTCATGTCTCGCGACGTATGGCCTCTACTGTACCGCACGTTCACAACCAACACATCAGTCTATTCTCGCAATCATTTCATTATTACTGTATTTAGTATTAGTATTAATACTGTATTACAGTTTTACCGGTATATCAGTCAACACACTATCACTACTGCATTATTCCTACACTTTGTTCAATACTTTCAAACCAGTTATCACGAATTTGAATCACGAATTGAATTGACTTTTCGAGTGACATGTATTTGGTGTCCAAAATGCCATCTCTTAAACTGGTTATCATTTTCATGTGTGTATTGCAAGTGATTTGTAGGAACGAGTCGTCCTCTAAGAGTGAGACGGAAGGGGCGGCTGAGGACGAGGATAAAGACACAGGGATTGTGAACTTCTTCAGCGCCAACTATGACAAGGCGTTGGAGCGAACCCTCTGTATGTTCTATGTGTACATAATCCTGGCCTCCCTTATCAAAGTAGGTTACCATCAAAGCTCATTCCTCACCAACAATATCCCCGAGTCTTGTGTACTCATTATGACGGGCTTAGGGTTCGGCACATTCTTCAAGTAATCATCACTTCTTTATATCAAACTTCTCTATACTTTATTCACTGCATTATAACTGCATTACTCAACAGAATCCTCGAAACAACGATCAAATTCCCGGCATTTTCTGTCCATTTATTCTTCTACGGACTCCTTCCTCCGTAAGTGTCTATTATTGTGCGAATGACCGCAATATTTGGTGTTGAGTTTGTTCAGTGCAATACAATATACAATATACTGATCATTCATATACATTCATATCATATGTCCAGGATCATTCTGGAATCGGCGCATCAACTCCATGACCAGGTCTTCTTCAATAACATGGTCACTGTTGTTATGTATGCCGTTATCGTATGTATTCAAACAGTTGTCCACCGATTCTGTACTATTAATACATGTCTATCTTAAGGGCACTCTAATCAATGTGTTTCTCATCGGACTCTCTCTCTACATGTTTGTCATATTTGCCTTCGATTTCTTAAACTTTCCTCAGATATCACTCATTGAAATGTTAATCTTCTCGAACGCCATCAGTGCTGTGGATCCGGTCACTGTATTTGCTTTTCTCAACTTAAAGTCACTATAATTTCATTAACTCTTTATGAAATCATTATTAGGTTTTAGCGATATTTCAAGATTTGAGAGTTAATAAACCGCTTTATTATCTAGTGTTTGGAGAATCGCTATTAAATGGTATAAAATAGAAAATGAATTGTGTTTTCGTAAAGTTTGATATGTTTTATGAAATAACCCTGTTAAGATGCTGTGGTGATAGCATTACATGACTTGTTATGCACATTCATTAGCACTCCTTTTATAACATCGGGTCATATATTGAGAGGAATCGGCCGTTTCTTTTACGGAAGTGTCGGCGGGTTTATCATTGGAATTGTTTTTGGTTTAATCACAGCTATAATGACATTATATACCAAACATTCTGAAGGTCTGTAAACTTAATCGTAAATACATTTTTGTAGTATTTGTTGTGACAATAATTGTATAATTTGTTTGATTCAAGTAATCGAACCCATGTTAATGATAGGAACGGCTTACTTGTCGTACATAACGGCAGATATTTTTGGTACTTCTGGACTCATAAGTCTAGTCGGATGTGGACTCGTATACATATTTGCCATTCATGCCATTCTAATCAAATTATTAATTCATTGTAAATGTAATATTAGGTTCAGTTTGAGTTTGCGAATCGAAATGTGACAGCTAAAACTAATACAACTGTCAAATATTTTATCAAAACTTTGAGTTCTGTCACAGAGATGATGATATTTTTCTTTTTGGGACAATGTCTCATAAATATGGATCCGGATTGGAGTTATTCATTTGTAATCCTGACCATCATTTTCTGTCTACTATATCGTGTCGTCAGTGTATTTTCACTGACATTCATATCAAACAATTATTTCCACAGAACTCGTCAAATTAATTTAGAAGAACAGGCGCTTATGGTATGAAATCATAAATTCATTTCTTAAAGTTTAAACTTCAGGTCAATTCCTATGGTTAGGCATATGGAGGGCTGAGAGGAGCGGTTGCTTTCGCTATGATTGCACTCTTAGAAGAGGTTAAGGAAGCAAAACACGTGCCGCTCTTTAAGACAACTACTTTAGTCATTATCTTATTCACAGTCTTTATTCTGGTATTAAATGAAAATTTATATAATTTCAAACCTAAATTAATAGCAATTTAATCATTAATGTTGACTAAAGGGTGGTTCCACAAAACCATTGCTAAATTTTTTGCGGATACAAAAAGAGACGATTCAAAACAAAAAACTTTGTTTTATCATAAATGATAAGGTATTTGATTGCTTTTAATTTGTTTATTAAACATTATTTTGCTAATATGGTGACCATTTTTAGATCACGCATACAGTGATTAACGGAATCGAGACTTTTGTAGGAAATATTTCTACTATGAATTTCCTTACTGTAAATAACAATCTATTATACAAAATTTACACAAAAGTATTGATTGAATTTATTTTAGCATAAGTTTAAGGAATTGATTCAATATCTAAAGAAGTATATATCTAAAGGTTCGGACTCTAAAATTGAGGCAGATATCAAAAAGCTTGAACGACAGTAAGATTATTGTATATTTTGAAAACAAAACAATTAATTAATTAATTAATATTTATAAATAAAGTGAAACTAGACATGAAAGCCACGATTCAGATGACAAAAACGCAGCTTCTCCAGAATCTAAGATGTATTTCCTAATATTGTTTCTATTGGTTTAATATTAGTTTTTTAAACATTTTAATTGTTTGCGAACAGAAATTCAGCTGAAGATTTTTTAAAACAATTGGAAATGATGGCCAAAGACGTTATTAAAGAGCAGGACACTTTTACTAATATATTGCCAACAAAAGTCGCTAAAAATATATTTAGCATCGATAATGTGGTCCGCAATCATCACTTACCACACGATTTGAGTTCAAAAGTGCTTAACGCTAAGGAAAAGTACAAATCAGACAATAAAAAACTATATGCACTCAGAAGTGATATGAATACTCAAGAAATTAGAAAAGGATTTCAAAAGAAAATTGAGGACATCATAGCACCTGAAGATAAACAAAATTAATTTATTAATTTTAAAAACAAAATTGTCTTACATTACAAAGTTGAGATTTCACACACATTTTACAAACAACGAGTAAAACAAATTCAATTTACTTAAAACTAATAAATATTATTATGTTATTTGTATTAAAAATGTTGTACCGTATATTAATTTATTTTAATAGTAATTTAGACTTATATTAAAATAAAGATATAATTATTATTCAATTTAAATTGATTCAATTAGTTTCTAAATGATATGAAAGTGAATAACTAAACAGATATTAAGCGGTGTTGAGAGTGGAAGAGAGGGTCACACCTGTCGGTGAGAATCAGGATCTGACGGGTGAGGAGGAGTAGGATTTGTGAACACATCATAACTGTTCAATAGAAGTGAGTACCGCCTGAACACAGGTCTCACACGATCCCGGAATATAGGACTTGACTGCTCTCTCACTCTATGATACGCTTTGATTCATATGAAAAGACATTCATTTGTCTCTTCATTGGATCACCGATTCTTTCCGACTATAATTGCATTACTTATTGAATGATAACAATACTGAAAATACTTTTAAAATAGGATTTTAGTGATAAGCAAAATATTTAATTTTATATTGACAAATATAGAAAATTTTGTTTTTTAGTTCATGAAAGTAGATTGCGTTTGAATGAATACTCACTACAAAACTTAACATTTATTGTCAAAATAGTAGTTCTAATAGTGATTGGTTTGCATAATTCAAACTTAACAATACGGACAATATTTAATCAATAAACAGGTGGACTATTATGCAGTGTACTGTAGATGAATGTACAGAACCACAGTATATGCACTCAACTACTTTATTCCACATTACAATAGTGTATAAAGTTCTCAAATGAACAAAAAAGTTTTTGTCATTAATTATTAACTCATTGGTAAAGCTTTTAATTCAAAGAGAGTCTCATTCGTCACTCCATTTCGTTTAAGTGATGACAAGAGTGAAGTGAATCTGTTTTTTCGCTAAACTGTGAAACTGTTTGCCATTAAAACACATATAATGGAAGAGAAGGCTAATAGTAATAAGGATGAAGATTCGTGTGAACAACACATCGAATATACATTTCTGACACCTCTTTCAACCATAACAGACGAGGAATTGTTTTTACAGCAAAATAATTATCACTTCTGCTATACATCGGATCAAATCGCTGCCAGTCCGCCAACAGATGATGAAAACTTCGAGAGCTGTGAATCAAATGATTCGCCACAGAGTGGGATCGATGGCAAGAAGGCGTGCGACCCATTCAGCCCCCACTGCAAGATCCCATTGCCCGGCCTCTACGGTAACTCTCACTTCTTCGACTCAACCACTTTTATACGAAGACGTAATGAGCGCGAGAGGGCGAGGGTTCGTAGTGTTAACGATGGCTTTGAACGACTTCGACAGCACTTGCCTTTGAGTTCAAGTCTTAAGGATAAGAGACTTTCCAAAGTAGAGACACTTCGCTTTGCCATCACTTATATCCATCACTTGCAGTCACTTCTTAACTCTAAATCCAAATCAACGCCTAATAAGTAAATCACTAATTATTCTTTCGATTAAATCCTTAAAAAGTTCATTCATTTAAATTGCATTTCTTTATTGAAAAGAGTTGTTTCTAGTCTTTAAATGTATTTATTTCTCAAATGCTTTCATTTACTATACAATTGTTTGAAATAACTATATTAATAAACCAAATATATTGTCAATTATTTTTCATAATTTTTATTATCTTAAATAAATTCAATTCCAAGGTAACTTGTATTTCAACAATAATTTAAATAAAATAATTTAAAATACCATAAAATTTTATGCTATATGCTACTCAATTAAGTTATTTATTTTCTAGTTTTCTACTATACTTTTTTAACATACTGGATATTTACGATATTAATTTCAAATATTTATTATATTTTATAAATTTTAAAGAATATATCAATCAGTAAATTTTAATAAGGTTAATAAAGAAAATTATTATATAATCACCTAATTTTTATTTATTTTTTATTTTAATTGGTATTCAACTAAATTTTATATTTTGTGATTATATAAAGGGCTGTTTTAGACTTGCATAACATCACACTATTCATTAAGAAATAGATTTCAAGGCTTTTATAGTCTTCATCGAAAACTTTCATTTCTATATATATCTAAATAGTATACCTATTTTTATATATTTCAATCATAACTATAAATTATTAAAATTTATAATAACCATAATAATTTATTATAATTTATAGCTTTACAAACTTTGGCACATATTTTATAGTTTAATATANAATCAATACTTTTGTGTAAATTTTGTATAATAGATTGTTATTTACAGTAAGGAAATTCATAGTAGAAATATTTCCTACAAAAGTCTCGATTCCGTTAATCACTGTATGCGTGATCTAAAAATGGTCACCATATTAGCAAAATAATGTTTAATAAACAAATTAAAAGCAATCAAATACCTTATCATTTATGATAAAACAAAGTTTTTTGTTTTGAATCGTCTCTTTTTGTATCCGCAAAAAATTTAGCAATGGTTTTGTGGAACCACCCTTTAGTCAACATTAATGATTAAATTGCTATTAATTTAGGTTTGAAATTATATAAATTTTCATTTAATACCAGAATAAAGACTGTGAATAAGATAATGACTAAAGTAGTTGTCTTAAAGAGCGGCACGTGTTTTGCTTCCTTAACCTCTTCTAAGAGTGCAATCATAGCGAAAGCAACCGCTCCTCTCAGCCCTCCATATGCCTAACCATAGGAATTGACCTGAAGTTTAAACTTTAAGAAATGAATTTATGATTTCATACCATAAGCGCCTGTTCTTCTAAATTAATTTGACGAGTTCTGTGGAAATAATTGTTTGATATGAATGTCAGTGAAAATACACTGACGACACGATATAGTAGACAGAAAATGATGGTCAGGATTACAAATGAATAACTCCAATCCGGATCCATATTTATGAGACATTGTCCCAAAAAGAAAAATATCATCATCTCTGTGACAGAACTCAAAGTTTTGATAAAATATTTGACAGTTGTATTAGTTTTAGCTGTCACATTTCGATTCGCAAACTCAAACTGAACCTAATATTACATTTACAATGAATTAATAATTTGATTAGAATAGCATGAATGGCAAATATGTATACGAGTCCACATCCGACTAGACTTATGAGTCCAGAAGTACCAAAAATATCTGCCGTTATGTACGACAAGTAAGCCGTTCCTATCATTAACATGGGTTCGATTACTTGAATCAAACAAATTATACAATTATTGTCACAACAAATACTACAAAAATGTATTTACGATTAAGTTTACAGACCTTCAGAATGTTTGGTATATAATGTCATAATAGCTGTGATTAAACCAAAAACAATTCCAATGATAAACCCGCCGACACTTCCGTAAAAGAAACGGCCGATTCCTCTCAATATATGGCCCGATGTTATAAAAGGAGTGCTAATGAATGTGCACAACAAGTCGTGTAATGCTATCACCACAGCATCTTAACAGGGTTATTTCATAAAACATATCAAACTTTACGAAAACACAATTAATTTTCTATTTTATACCATTTAATAGCGATTCTCCAAACACTAGATAATAAAGCGGTTTATTAACTTTCAAATCTTGAAATATCGCTAAAACCTAATAATGATTTCATAAAGAGTTAATGAAATTATAGTGACTTTAAGTTGAGAAAAGCAAATACAGTGACCGGATCCACAGCACTGATGGCGTTCGAGAAGA